CAGTAGCCTTACATGTCTCCTATTAGGCTTTTCTTTAAGAGAAAATTGCAATTATTTTCTCCCCTGATGGATTTAATCTCACGTTGTTTTGTTCATCATGGCCCTGATCTATTACATACACTATTACATACACTAGAACACATAAGACCCAGTTTGATTGGCTGTAGGGCCTGTGCTTTTAATTACACCACTCAGTTGAGGAGATCACCCTCCCCATCGTTCAGCCATATTGGGGAGGCCCTCTCTATGATTGTCAGCGATTCCTCCAGACTGAATAATCATAAACCTGTCTGTTTTACTGACTTGCGAATGGCAATTCTCTACCTTGCCTACACAGAGCAGAGAATTCTGAAAATTAGAATCGGCTCTATCTTTAATTGTATATATTGGATCATCAAAAAATCCCAATGCATTTTTGCATAAAAACATATTTTAAAAAGTCACAACTTTTCTTATGACCCAATAGTTAAGTATAGACTAAAATTTTATATACTGACCTATTATGAGTTAGCTTTATTTAGGAAGACAAATATTTATATACTAGTAATAAAAAAAGCTGTGGTAGGTATAAGTGTGCACAGAGCATGTCTCTTAGCATGGTGGTTAAGTGCTGTCAATACAAAGCTGGATCCCATGTGGCCAACCACAGTTTGCATCTTGGCCCTGGGGTTTCAGAAATGTGCCAGGTGCATATGCATACAGCCCCAAATCCTGACAGGATGAAGAAATGGAGAAGAAGGGATTGTGACATGATTGTGCCTCATTAGGGGATAATTTCTCTCTCTCTTTCTCTGTCTCTCTCTTTCTCTGTCTCTCTCTGGCAAGTGTACACACCCTCTGATGATAAAACAAAACAAAATGAACAAAAATTTTGAGCATGGAATTTCATTGTAAGCCATAGAAATACCCTAGTGGAGAAGCAAAATATAGATACACAGAAAATTAAAACACTTCTAAAAAATCATTTGAGAATAAATATCAGTCCGCCTATAATGGACCAAAATAAAAAGAAAGATATGAGACAAGAAGTAATATAAGTAATATATGAGTACAAAAAAAAAAAAAAAAGAAATAGGAGAGAGAATGGCC